AATGTAGAATAGCACGAAGAAACGTGTTCAACTAATCAGAAGCCTAGAAAATCAAACGGTTGAAAATAAATTTCCGATTGAACCAAATTGTTGCGTCCTTGATCTGTCTACCAACTTTTGAGCAGAATAACTTGTCTAATCTAGATTAAGACCTTGACGTGATATTCTGACTGACTCGACCTTGAGGCTAGTATGTGTGAGTTCGAAGTGAGACAAACTGCTCGGGGTAGAAAGACGAAGATAAGTCAACTGGAACAGTACATGATTTATTCCCAATTCCGATCTTGCTCCGGACTTCAGATTAGTGTAGAAAGATGCATGAATAAGTAGATGGCTAACTAGACTATAACGCGCAAACAAGAGGGAAAATACAATTATGTCCAAAGCTAAGGTTTAGAGTGGAAAAGATTACATTTAAATTACAATAGCTTTGGAACAGAAAAGGCTATGGCAGTGAATCATACACCAAACGAAAGCTTATAACCCGCAGAATAGACTAGAGACAAAAATGAATGTTACTGTTTTACAAGCTTTGAATTAAATGAAATAACATCCCCAAAAATAGTTTCCGTAGTCTGTCAAAGCCTTTTCTTTCTCTGTTCATATCACTAATCTTCTCGGTAGTGAATTAAATAGAGAAAAACTTGGAGTATTAGCACCAAGCCTGAAAACTGAATGACCAATGACGTCAGTAATAAGATAAAGAACGAATTGACCAGATCGTTAAGAAATCTCAGAGACCAACAGGTACTTCCATCAAATTTTATACGAAACAATTAGGCCGATGAGTACCGACTTACCAAGGTTATACGGACTACCGAAGTACACAAACCGGATACTATTCCCCTTATCATACTGTAGCAGTGTTATTAACAATTTTAAAACGACCCCACAAACACTTAGTTAAGCATATTATTAAGAATATATTGTGATCCATCGACAAAATCAAACACATAAACACTAATGGGTAAACGATGGTATCCTTAGGCATAACATCATTGTTTACAAACATCTCACTCAGGGGGACTGTCCAATATATCTATGAACAACACATGGAGGCTACAATCCTTGTGGATATCATTAAGAAATGATTACTAGAATGTACTATGGACACCAACTTCAAATTCAATGGTGAAATCTTAAAATATTTAGAAAAGAAAGCCTTATTTGGTGACTAATGTTGTATATTTATTCTTTTTGCTAGGGGGATTTTGTAAATATGGGTCTACGGGTGAAATTTATTACATTGCCCCCAAATGCCCTGGTACGGACCAAAGTGTGGAGAGTCCGCTCTCCCTCTCGGAATGCTCTCACATGGCCACGCGTATATAGCCTCTGCCAAGGAAGTCCTACTCACCGCCTTCTCGTGGCATTACTGTTGTTTACGAAATTGAGAGGACGAAAGGAGAATATCCGGCGCTTTAACCGGATTCCAAACCAATGGTGCACATGGGCTCCATTGTCCTGAAGGAACAAATGGCGTATGAACCAATCGTTGGTCACCGGCTATCATGGGAATGCATCTCCACACGTTGCCTTGTGGATCAAACCTTCAGGTCGAAGGTTCCGGGTGTGGCCCCCTAAGAAAACCACCTGCTTCGGTTTGGGCACCCGGGCAGTATCACAGCCCTCACACAAATCAAATATTTTTGTGGCGCATATGTACTTGGTGCCTCCTTATACCAATATATATGTGTTAAAATAAATAAATATCACATCCTGTTATTGGTCGAGATACTACAGAATGTCTAAGGAACATTGAAAATATATTTATCATACGGTAATGCACCTCAATACATCACTAAGGATTATATATAAATTTCCAAGTCTCGAGGAGAGTGTTTGTTACTATTAGACTAGTAAGTTGGCACTCAGTGATACACATTTCCAACCTCAACTGGTGTGAAGACGATCCATCACTTATATATAAAATTGCTCTCGAACAAAACCATAATCGTGCACTCACTAATGAATTATTTTGATATGACCTTTTAAAGTTCCAGTAGTAAGTCACAACTAATAGTGATCAGTGATATCGTAAGTGAAACAGCTGTTATCAGTGCCACCCAGTGGTCATTGTGTTATATCATGGATGTTTTAAATGGGCAACAATGGGTATCAACTCAATAGTCTAATGTTGTTCAGTGCACATTGAGAGACGTGAAGGTCCTGAGTGCTCACATTCACTTAGAAGTGATGTATAACCTAGCACATGTGTGTACAGGTTCAAGTTGCCACATAAACATCAGCCCAGTAAGATAAAATTATAAAGACAAATGTCAGCAAAGTTAAAGTAGTAACCGTATAATAGACGGTTGGGAACATTAGGCATATACAATATGATGATTTGGGACGAAAGAACGTAATCCTACCCTAGCAAACATAATGCATCGTAGTAAACGATGGTTAGATATAATTAATACATATCCCAACCACCTCAGTCGATGAAGATTCATTACTTATCAACCGATATGACATCTTTACCTAGACGCCTGACGTTTAAGCTGAGCATTAGTCACTCAGTGGTTCTAACATACTACTAAGGAATATGATGTTTATTATTATCAAAGAGAGAATAAGTTTCTTAATTCGAATTGAAAACAGCACGAGGCTCAATTTCTTAGCAATATATTATAATTTGACGTATAAATAATTAATCAAGGGAAAGAACAAAACACACAAAGAAAAGCAAAAAAATACGGCGAAACATTTTTCACATAAAAATCAAAATACATAGGCACGTATATGTTAAACGGACAGTTAATCAATAGAGTTGAAAGTAAGTATTTAATAAAAAAAGAGGATAACTAAAGTAAAATATTCACGATCAACATAATTAATTCGATTATTTCGCGTTGATAATAGAAAAAAGTAACAGAGGTAATAAGCTTACAATGCTGAATATATCATCATATGGTAAAAAGATGACGAGATAAATGGGATGAAATAAGGAAAATTTTCCTAAATATTCTTCGGTAAATACGTCCGCATATATTTTGGCAAAATGTTTGTTAAATAGTATAGTTTTTGTGAATATTTTCGAGTCAGGTAGATTGTAAACTATTATTGAACTCATATACTGTTGTGAAGTAGTTAGCCTTGCATAAATCAAACATAGGATGGTCATAAATAGTTCAGCATTTTATAAGTCAGGCGCTTGCTGTGAGACCTTAATTTCCAAAGCTCGATCAACAGTGAGATCTTTAGTTCGGATTTCAGGGGAGTCCTTTACTTGGACCAAGTGCCCTGGACGAGAGTGGGGAGAGTTCGCTACCCCTCTCGAAATGCTCTCACATGGCCACGCGTATATAGCCTCTGCCAAGGAAGTCCTACTCACCGCCTTCTCGTGGCATTACTGTTGTTTACGAAATTGAGAGGACGAAAGGCGAATGTCCGGCGCTTTAACCGGGTTGGTGGACATGGAGAGTCCACCTAGGGGAGTTGGAAAACCCTGACTCCAAACCAATGGTGCACATGGGCTCCAATATCCTAAAGGAACAAATGGCGTATGAACCAATCGCTGGTCACCGGCTACCATGGGAATGCATCTCCAGACATTGCTCCATTGCCTTGTGGATCAAACCTTCAGGTCGAAGGTTCCGGGTGTGGCCTCCTAAGAAAACCACCTGCTTCGGTTTGGGTACCCGGGCAGTATCATAGCCCTCACACATATGAAGTGAGATTTGTGTGGCGCATATGTATTTGGTGCCTCTTTGTACCAATATCTATATGTTAAAATAAATAAATAATAAATAAGGACGAAACAACAGTCTAGTGTTTTTTCTTTTTGGTTTTCAGTAGTCGCCTAATTAAGGTCGGTTCGGTGTAAAATTCCTAAAACTAAACAATTTTTATGAAACGTTGACATCAATAAGTATTCTTCTCAGCTTTGTAAAAAGAATGTTCTAAATATCCTAAATCTGTTGAAATTTTCTATTTATGATGCGTTATGATTGATGCATTTTACTTGGATATAATCACATGAGCCTTAACAATAAAAGGTATCAGTGACCTACCACTCTTTCAGCTTTCTATATGTATACTGTATTAATTATTTTGTCATCTGTTCTCCTTGTGCAATGGGAAATTGCTGCATCGTACAGTGTGATTTTCATGAGGGATTTTATTTCACGCCTTAACTTTCACTACATTTGTGTTTTTCAGCCGGGATGTTGGGCTGCATCTCAGTGAGATGTTCAGAACAGACAGCTATTGACAACTTCAGACCCTTAGAGTGAAATTACTTTCAAGTATACAGTACTCACTAACTAAATGAACGAAAAAATGGCCGAAAGTGATCCTGAATACAACTAAATTATTGAATATTGAGAAAGTTGTGCATAATCTTAACTCCGTTTAATACTTTTTAGCTTTTATTATGCTAATTTAGATGAGGTCATTTAATGACATATTTATTAATTGATTTAATGCACATGGATTCTGCTGCAATAGGGAGCTAAAATGAAAAAAACGCGTCACATAAACGAAGTGACAAAAATGAGAATAAATGAAGTAGAAAAGAAGAGTGAAGTTAGTAAATAAATGAACAATAATAACAAATGATGAGATACACTTCAGTTACTAATACAACTGAAATAGAATTATTTTAATTAAGGGAGTTTATCTTAATATAACAAAGATTTTAGAAGAAAACCACAGTAGGATCACTACTAACTTCTATTCGTGGTCATGCCTGTCAATATCCCAAGCACCTAGGTTGTATCATCTCTAGGACCTCAACAAGAAGGTCATGACAAAACGACAGATATAAGTCCAATACGGATTTTATTCATGGTACGGGGCGTTATCACATAAAGACTAACACCCCATTTTTTCCACTCAGTACAAGGATCGACAAATAAGTAGCACATTGTATTGAATGACCTTCATCACACCACAGATTTTAAAAGGTTTGTAGAAAATAAAGCACTTAGTAAAATGATAAGAGATATACGTATCTAAAATCAATAAAACATTTCGAAAAATGAAAAAGGACTTACTTGTCCAATTCCTATATGTTCAACAGAATGATCAGTTGTATCAGGAATACCATCAAAGGAATAATCAATACTCAATGCTTCTTGACTTTCTAAATCATCAATATCGCCAGAAAACTGTGTACCACTTAAACGTGCTTGTTCTCTACGTCGTTGACGTCGTTCACGCACTAAAGAATAATAATAATAATAGTGTTAACTGAAGAGAGAGATGCTGAACAAAGCAAAGGTTGGATTATTTAATAAGAAAATTCTGTATTATAGGAATATAAACATTAAGTTTATCAAGGCAACTATTAAAAAAACACTGTCCAAAGTGCTATATTTTCCCGACAAGTCCGTGATGTGACTCCTGAATTCGCTGCGCTTACTGGTTAGCCTCCTAACGATTATTCAGGCGTAACCATATATTTTTCAATGAAATACTTTATTTTTAAAACAGTAGGTGCTGATTAATTAAACAATGAACTAAGAGGTATACATTTTAGTTAAAGAAGCTTTGTAGAAACTACTTCAATTTCCAGATTTTGTTCGTCACAGATTAATCTTAGTTAAAGCAGAACTGGAAACCAGGGAGAACTGAGCAGTTATTTTGTCTCAGTATGAGACTCTTCAGTGGTGCTTGTCCATGACCCGGTCATGGCTAGGATCCAGGACCTTAGAGTTTCACAGTGATCAGTTAGTAATTAGAACTGGTTTGGCGCGTAATGACGCAATCCCAAATTGAATCAACTTGTGAAACAATGAGACTATCATACAAATGTAACTGACATTACATATGATGAGTGGAAGTTTGAATATGTTAGACAAACGACAAATATCACTAGTGGTAATGGATAATTGCTATCCAATACCATGAACTGACTAACGCTAAAACAGTAAACCACTGTGTACCATCAACTCAGTGGTCTGAAAGTTAGGTACTGTTTATCCTTTGAAGATTTTAACTTGTTTGGATTTCCACGCTAATGTTTAGGATTGCAATTGACCAGTCTGTTTAGGCACATATGCGTCATATGAGGATTGAATATTCTGTTTTTATGCACACATCCTACACAAACACTGTGCTTCCTGAGGCATCAGGTCAGCACGTTGGATAACTGTCGATAGTATTGAATAAGTTAAGAGTGTATAAAAAATAAACGGATTGTACTGCTGCTTTTATGAAGCTGATAAACCCATAAGTTTGAATTGCATAAAAAAGTGAGCAGCGCATCATGAATTAATGGTATCAATTTCTTTTGGGATGATACAATTTCAGCTTAGATAAAGATATCACTGATCCTACATTTATTTGTACAACATACATTAAGTTGTGAATATGTGTAATTATCCCATAATTATTGATTACTTGTTTATTTATAGATGGTGTTTAGTTTAATATTTTGCTTTCGGTTAGAATACAAAAAGAAAACAGAAATGAAAAACAAGGGAAGTTTGACTCATTCGTACAGATTTATAAATTGTAGTAGTAAGCGTTGTATGCACTTCGATGTTTTATCTGGAATACTATGTAAGCAATCAATCAGAATGCTAAACTTACCAAATACGCATCTGACCTGCTGATGTTATTTACTAAAGATTTTACAGAGTATACAAGCATTCAAGTACCCCCACTGACTACGTGAAAAATTACATATATGAGGGGTCGGCGCATTTACAATTAATGATATAGACGAACTGACATTTTCTTGAACAGAATTCGTCTGAAAAAACAGGTAACTAGGTGTCATACAGACACAATATATTTCAAGTTTGGATAAACATATCGTCATTTGAGAACGGTACAAACATTCTACAGTCAATATCACTGATAATCATGCAAGTATAATTTTTGGGAGTGAAGAAAAGTCCCATATTATGAAGAAACGGTTGTCCAGTGCTACCTAGTTCCCAGTGGTTATCTGTGTTGTGACAAAGAGAATACTAGGAATGTTGTGACGTTTGGAACCATTTTGTGGATAAATATATATTTGAGATGCCTAAGATGAAGTAATAAACGCTTGCCTGTATTCTCCTATAAAGAATCAAAACTGGGTATAGAAAGCGATGGTCGAATAAATAGACTAGTTGGAGTTAAGGTTATTTCAGCTTAACCCACGGTCAACCTTGTCATTCGTCTAAGGCCATAATCGATCAAACGTTGAAAAACTAGGCGATAGCCGAAATAAAATGCATGGGGGATAGATAAAATATAACTAAGAATCTGTTTGGCGAATATTTTCTAGATATCGATAAACCTGTCGTCCAAACAGTTCAACTTAGGTCGGTTAGTGGCCTCAACTAAAAAAAGAAAGCAAGTGAATTTCGTCTGTTATTACTAAATGAGTTAGTTATGGGCAAAGTAGATACTAATAAATACATGTACCGGTTCACGTTTTCACACTGCATTAGCAAAGTGAAACCGTAAATATTAATTGTAGAGCAGTAGAAATAGTAATCAAACAAGCGACAGTAGGATACACCAGGAAAAGAAAAATTGATATTTCAAGAAGGAAAATGAATTTGTGGGGTACAATATTTTTTAAAATAATATCGAAGGCAATAGAAAAAGCGGATGAATTTTTCCATCGCGACCTATTCTGAATCATGCTATCCCGCATTTCCAGCCGTTTGTTACGATAATGTCGTGGACCCAAATCAGTTAGTTTTCACGTGGTCACACAATTCAATCTAACAGTCAACGATGTCATACCTTAGGTTGGACGTCCATAGCTTTCTTTCAGCCTACTCCCCTACATCAGCAAGTATATTTCAAGGAAGGAAGTGGTAGTTCAGGATACAAAATAAATGTCTCACTAATTTTGATTTAAAATGTGTAGCTGAAACGCAAGTGTGTATGTTCATAAAACTTTGTGTATAAAACACATATTTTAATCATTTCCACATGGATCTATATCAAACTAGACTACACAAAACATCAACAAAAATATATAACTGAGTTACAAATGATAGTGTGCAACGTTTCGAATGCTGAGTTCCTTCTGTAGTGAACGAGAACAACAGTCGGGACTACCAGATGTATTTAAACACAAAATTACAGAACGTCTTAGTTAAATCTGAGATCCATACAATAAATTCTTCACCTGAAGAATTTCAATCAATCGTCTCAGACTTCATTCTTCCTTCGCTTCCACAACAATCATTCCCTGTTCTTGTTTCCCTTTCTTCATTCTTCTCAACCTTCTGCTGCCAGCCGTTTCACTTGCGATTGGTGATACATACTACTTATACCTGTCGACATCAATAGTACACACAACACTTTCAATTAGATTTACTATGAAACGAAAATCAGCCACAACACTAGCCTTAGGCGAGGGACGATATGAAGATTACCTATAAACTATATACGTGTTTATAAAGGTTCGATAAGCCGCATGTTTTATAGGCATATAGACGTATTTTTGTCTGTTTTTTCGACTTTAAGACAGACATGTGGTAGACATTAATAGATTCAGTAACTATGTAAAACCCATTTACTTATTGTAATAATAATTTTCATTTTTCCACAATCTGCTCTTTTAAATAAATAGTTTTTCATTAGTTAACAACGGACTCAATTGTGGTAATTTTAAGAATTAATAAAGTGCACACAAGCAAGTCAGAATCAAGAGTGTAACTTTTAGGATTTTGAAGAAAATTTAAAAATTACGTATAATGAGCGATAAAAATATCTTTATCAAGACGTTTAAAATGATAATTAAAAACTATTTGTTGCCACCATGGAGAAAAAATAAAAATATTGGACGTGTAAAATGCTCAGTTTTTTCACTATACGTTGTATGCTGCTAACCATAAACACTTAATCCTAAAAATGTCTTAATCGATCAGCATTAAATTTTTATGGACGATTTAATCATACAGTTACTCTTCGATTTTCGCGCGAAGTTAACTCATCCATATAGTTAAACAATAATTTACATTATGGATGATGTCAGTTAGTGTTGAAAACCCTAACCCTAAATCTCATACTGAAACCAAGACCAATGTAAGAAACCTTAAAAATTTATTTGAATTCTTATAAGTGCTCAAGAAGACAGATTATGTATATCAATATTGATGGACTCAAATATTGGTGTTTTTATACTCACAGATAGAACAACCTGAAGAAGACTTTAAAAGGATCATTAATTATGTAAAATGTTTCAAATTTGTCACATTATTGTTTTCTTTTTCATAAACAATCTATTTGCAAAAGCCGATTGGCTAAGGACTGACTGAAAATTTATCGCGGTTGTCTTAAGCTCATCTTTAGACTATTATACATTTAGTGAACCTCAGCAACATACCATAAGCCTTACCCATAATAAGACTAGAAATAACAACATCATGAAACGAAAGAAAAAAAAAGAATCTACTCGCAAAATTGAATGACTCATCCATCCTATTTGGATAGAAAGAAATATACAAACAGCGAATAAATAAATACACATACAGATAAATGAAGACAAAAGGACGCATTCAAATATCAATGTGAGTGAATGCAACAGAACAACATTATAATAAATTTATCAGAATAAAAATGCTATATTCTTTTGAACAAAACTAAATCAAATTGGTAAACAATAATAATAATAATAATAATAATAATAATAATAATAATAATAATAATAATTGTTTTATATACACATAAAGAAAACAATTATAAAACTTGTTTGTAATAATAAAATACAAGGACAATCAGTGATTGAGTTGATTTACAATATTCTCAGTATTCAATAAGTTGTATTTTATTCGGTAGCTTCGATTAGTTTCCCATTCAGAATTAGTGGATAAGTGTTGCATTTTGGAGTATATTTAACATCAAACACATCATTTCAAGTGTCTGAAATTAACTGCTTTATAATCATCTTGTTATGATAAACATGTCAAATGTAGGCTAGTTCAACATAGTAAGTGAAAAATACTGATCTAGTGGAATTTAGGGCTTAAAACGTAATCTCCAAAGACAATTATATTTTAATGTGGTAAAAATATATATTAAAAGAATGTAAATCGATCGAAGATGTTGGATGCAACAAACAGCGAATATTAAAAACGCGAAAGATACTAGTTCATGTGCAAAATTATTTTTAAAACTGATTGAAAGCATATCAGTTATCGTCTTGTTTTTTATAAATCCTACACAGAATGATCGACATGTGCACCAATCAAAAACTCGAGAATTTTC